TAAAAATAATAAATTTGACAAGTTGATAAAAGATTCAGATTTAATATATCAACAAAAAACAATTTTACAGAACAATAGAAATAGATGATTAAATTTATTACAAGTAAATCTTTTTAAATATTACAAAAAAGCTATTTAACAAACTATTACAATATCTATTTACAAGGATTACATAAAGAGATATCAGAATCAAACATATCAGCTAATAATAAATTGATATTATATAGTTTGATAAAAGAAAAAATTGATAATTTTAGACAAGAAGAATTTAAAAATATTAAAAAAAGATTGAAAAAGAAAATTCAATTATCAATTTAGAAGTAGATATCAAAGAAGAAATAGATTTTAAAACAAAATATATTAATCAAAAAAAGAAACCTGAATTACATTTAATACAGGATCAAAAAATTAAATCATTAAAAGGTGCTATAGATTTTTTACATATTAAAGAACAAATTGAAAATGAATCATTATTATCAAATTTGCTAAATAAAAAATTTTTTGATGAATTAATTCAAACAAACAGTTTTTTGGTTAAAAATCAAAGACAATTATTACAAACAGTAAGAAAAAATAGGTTACAATTGTTAGTAAATAATTATTATAACACATTAAAGAAAGAAATAGAAATATCAAAAGATTTAGAACAATTAAATGATGGTGGATATTTTGATGAAAGAATTGGTGAAATTAGAGAAGAATATTTGGATTCTAATAATTCGAAAGAAAAATTACATATTTTACGAAGATCAAGAATTGATCAATTATTAGGAAGTGAAGAAGATCAAAGATATGATCTTATAAGAGATATTATTAATAATACAGAAAATATCGAAGAAATATCAGATTCATCAGAAATATTTACAGATATTAAAATATTAAATCAAACTTTATTAACAGGAAATCATGATAAATTAGAATTAGAAAGAGAATGAAAATTACACTACAATAATAGGTTATATGATATTATTAGTTCAGCTATCAAATAGAAAAAGATATTGATAAATTACAAAAAGAATAGCAAGAGATTATTGAAAATAATCTTGATCAAGATTTTTTGACTGGTAGATTAAAAATAAATCTTCAACAAAATTGATTAGATAGAATTAAAGAATTAAAAGAAAAAGAAAATATACCAAAATGTCCTTTAGAAGATGATGATATACTAGCAAGAAATTTAGATAAAGCAGACCAAATTTGAGATGATTCAGGATCTTTTGATAAACAAATTAATTTTATTATTACTCAATATAAAAAACATTATTTAATGCTGATCTATTAAAGTTTTTCCCTACAAGAAAAAATAAATCAGTTGTAAAATTTATCAAAGAAATATATGATAAAAGTAAAGATAAAAATTCATTGTTAGAAGTGCTTTATTTGAATTGGGTTCTTGGTAAAGATGAAAAATATTTATTAAACAAGAAATTTACAAAAAAGA